CAGTTGGATCCCGTTGAGGGATGACCCAGCTCCCACTTCGGCTCAGCTATCACTTCTAGCTTAAAGCCCCCTCCCCGTCCCCAAACCTCAGCACCCCCACCTCTGACCCATAGCAGCGGGGTGCCCCGGGGCTGGCCCTGATCCCGCTCTGCTCTCCCTCCCCGCGCAGATCCCGAGAGGACGAGCACCCACATGATCTCGGCGGATGATGCCGAGTACCCGCGGGAGTACCGGACCTTGGGCAACGGCACCCGGCGCTTCTCCAACGTAGGGCTGGTGCACACCTCGGAGCGCCGGCACACCGTCATCGCCGCCCAGAGCCTGGAGGCCCTCACCGGCCTCCAGAAATCGGAGATGGAGCGCAAGCGGGATGCCTTCATGGACCACCTGAAGAACAAGTACCCGCAGCACGCCCTGGCGCTGCGGGGGCAGCAGGAGCGCATGCGGGACCAGGTAAGGGGCGTCTTTTCGGGGTACGGGGACCCCATCTCACCTTTTGGAGCTGCTCAGAGGTGAAGAGGCTCGGTGGGGGCTTGGATGGTGCATGGAATGGGTGGCCGTTTGCAGCAGCTCTGGGTGGGAGCATCCCTCAAGTCTGAGGAAGAACGTCCCCCAGCCCCAGGGGGGAGCACACCCCTCTCTCCCCAGGGCTGGGGGGGTGGTCCCAGGCACGTTTACCCTGCCACATGGGTGGATTCAATCCCACCAGCTGTCGGCAGCTGTGAGGAAGAGAGAGTCGTTCCTCCATTCAGAGGACGTGTGGAGGGGTGGCAGTGATGGCCGTGAGGGACAGCTGGCACCTGGATTTGTCCCACAGAGGGGTAACACCCAGCCCAGGTCTCTGTGGGTGCAGTCTTGGGGGGGCAGATCTCTCCCCTCGGCACGGTGCCAGGGAGACTGGTGAGCTCCTGGGGGGCTGCGGGGCAGGACGAGCGGAGGCAGTGAGGGGCCGTACCACTGCCCAGGACAGGGTGCGAACGGGCAAGTGCTGCCCAGAGTTTGGTACCCACGTCCAGGTGGGGATCTCCCTTGGTTCCCTCTTCCCTGGGGACTCAGCGCACCCCCAGGGACCCACTGGTCCTCGGAGCAGGACAGCGGGTGACACATCTGGGCACCCTTGGTGAAAGCAGCAGAGCCCGAGGGCTTGAAGGGTCCTTGAGGGGCAACATCCATCCCTTGTGCCTGGGGGTTCCCCCCCCAGGGCCAAGCAGCACCCCAGGGTGCTGGGGAGCCCAGACCGCTCCTCCTCTGGGTGTCAGTGATACCCCAGCGATGCTGTCGGGGCAGCGATAAATCCCCACCTAAACGGGCACTTGTTATAAAAAGGCACAGGGGAGGGTGAGCGCGGAGCAGCTGGAGGAAGTGGCTGGAAAAGAAATCTTATATCATCCCCAACTAGACGCCTCCCCGAGGGACGGAGGCGACAGCTCCCAGCCCGAGCGCGGCGGAAAGAAATCCAGCGTTGTAAGGAAAACAGCGGAGCTCTGGCAGCGCCATCGCTGCCTCCTCCGAGCTGCTTTGGGGGGCAGCGGGGAAGTTGGGGGGGGGGTGTCAGTGCTCTGTAGCCCATCTCCTTGCAAGACGCTCGTGGCTTGGATGCAAAGGGCCAAATCCTGCAGAGCTGCGGTGGTTTGGGCCGGTTCGGCACCCAGATGTTGGTTGAGGGCTGGTTGGTGGTGGTGGCTTTGCTGTTGCCATCAGCCTGAGCAGGGCCGGGTGTCACCCACGGGGCACGGTCCGTGTCTGCGCTGTCGCTTGCGAGACGGAGTGGTGACATTTCGAGCTGCAGAGTGATATTTCTCAGTAAATAACTAGAGATCTTTCCCCTATTATTACAATGATTTAAAGGCTTTTTTTTTGCTTTTTTTTTTTTTTAAATAAGCAGCAGCTATAAAAAAAAATCCAGCTCGTGTTGACTTGGGGTCTGATAAGCTTTGGAAAATTTTTATAAGGTGAAAGAAAGATCATATGAATCCTGGGATGATCTTTATTTCTGAAATCCCTGTGAGTGCCCAGTGGGACTGGGGGGGGGGG